CCTCTCCTCAGCCCTGGGGAGGCCTCACCTGGACTACTGTGTCCAGTGCTGGGCTCTCCAGTACAAGAGAGACATGGCACTACCGCAGAGAGTCCAGCAAAGGGCTACCAAGATGACTGGGGCCTCTCTCCTCTGAAGAAAGGCTGAGGGAGCTGGGCCTGTTCAGCCTGGAGAAGAGCAGGCTCGGGGAGGGATCCCACCAATGCATGTAAGTATCTGAAGGGAGGGTGTCAAGAGGATGGGGCCAGACTCTTCTCCGTGGTGCCCAGTGACGAGAGGCAACAGGCACCAACTGAAACACAGGCAGTTCCACCTGACCATGAGGAAAAACTTCTGTGCTGTGAGGGTGACAGAGCAGTGGAACAGGTTGCCCAGAGAGGTAGTGGAGTCTCCTTCCCTGGAGATATTCAAAACCCGCCCGGACGCAATCCTGGGAAATATGCTCTAGAGGACCCTGCTTGAGCAGGGAGGTTGCACTAGATGATCTCCAGAGGTCCCTTCCAACCTTGGTCATTCTCTGATTCTGTGATTTTATATGCGGAAAAACAAAAGTTTCTCTACTATATGTAGACATCTCCTTTGCAAAACACTAGAAAATTAAATGCAGAAAATTATTCCAAAACGCTAACAAGATGGGCTGCATATTGAGTAGGTTTTCTTGCTGCTGGTTACCTATGCCTCTCTTACTAAGGCCTTCTGGCTAAAGCCACTGCCAGCAGCATCCATCAAAATACCCAGCTTTGGGCCCTAATTTTTTTTTTTTTGCCTCCAAATTTATTTTACCTGCCTACTCATTTTTCTTTTTTGTTAAAATGTGATTGGGACTGTACCATACACAAAAATAAAACTAGCTTATCTACAAAACTGCTTTCTCTCCAGAAAGTGTTAAGAAAGCCCTACCTGAGAAAACTGATTATTTAAGAAGTCACTCCACCTCACTCAGCTGCAGCTTTGAGTATACAAAAGGTGGTGATTTTTGTAAATGTCACTAATATATTAAAAGCTCAAAGTTTACTGACAAATCCTAGGGCTGTCCATCCATTCTTGTTCCTCAGACATGCTACCTCCTTCAACATCTTAAGAACTTTCATTAAGAACCAGGAAAGCAATCACAATACTTGAATAATGAAACGGAAGTCTTCATTTTAGATTTCTCCATTAATTTATCTTCCCATTGCACTTATTTTTATATCCTAACTCTGATGCATAGGGATTTTTAACCAGCTGAAATTCACATCACAACATGAAAAGGAATAAAAAA